GGGGTGGGGCTGCATGGGGATGGAGCCAAGTGGGCGGGTCTTGCAGGGGGCGGGACCTGGGTGGGGCTGCACAGGGTGGAGCCAAGTGGGCGGGGGCTGCATGGAGCGGAGCCAACTGGGGCGGGGCATGGGGTGGAGCCGAGCAGGGGTGGGCCATGTATGGGGTGGGGCTGCATGGGTGGAGGGTGTGGGCGGGGCCCGGGGCGGGGGCTGCGTGGGGTGGAGCCAAGCAGGGGGCGAACATGGGGCGCAAACTGGGGGCGGGGCTTCACGGGGTGGAGCCACCAAGGGGCGGGACTGCGCGGGGTGGAGCGGGGTGTCAGTGGGGGCGTGGCCTGGTGGGGCGTGGTCAGAGTGGTCTGAGCACAGGGCTTGATGGAGGAGGACAGGGGCCAAGGGCATAAAGCGTGTAAAGGGGAGGTGGGCAGCGTGCAGAGGAGTCTGAACTTAACGGAGGGGGCGTCTCCGAGCCTGGAGAGGAGCTGCCACGCAGGGGCTTTTCTGAGCTGCGTGGTGGGAGGGTTGTCCCCGAACAGTGACAAAAAGTCCACAGAGATGGAGGCTGGAATAGGATGAATCATGACGGGACCTGGGGAGGAACAAGCTGATCGGGGAGCAGTGCTGGGGGGTGTCCTACGTCCAGGTCTCAGCCTTACCTCAGCCAACTCTCAGACCTGGTCCCCACCCCTGACCCAGGTCAGGTTCACCCTCACCCCCTAGTCCCATCCATACGCCTTCAGTCCTGCCTCTATCTTGAGCCTTGCCCCAGCCAGAGCCCTGGCTTCAGCCCTGGTCCTATCCCCAGCCCAATCTCCAGCCCTATCCTGTTCTCCGCCTGGGCCCTTTCCTCAGCCCAGGCCCTGGCCCTGGTCCCAGCCCTGGCCTTGTCCTCAGACCATGCCCTGTTTCCAGCCCCATCTGGCTGCCCAGCCTGGAGCACTATAGACCATGTGATCTGATGCCTCTTGTGTCCATGTGGATGGCACCATCCCATGCTGGGGGTCAGGGGCAGTCCTGCCAGGCCAGCAGGGTGGTCTAGGGTGGTGCAGGCCACCTAGGGCCAGCTGTGGGTGACCAGAGAGGGTGGAGTCAGGGTCCAGGGCGTGTGTGGTCTCTCTAATGGGGAGGTGGTCTTAACTGCTGATGGTGCTGTCTCCTGTGCAGGTATGTGAAGGGCTATCCCCCCAACTCACCCTACATCGGTAGCTCCCCAACCCTGTGCCACCTGCTGCCCGTGAAGGCTCCTTTCTGCTGCCTGCGGCTGGACAAGGTGAGGCTGCCCCAGCCCCGCCCCCAGCCCGATCTAGAGCTGAGTGTGCGTCCTGTTCCACTTCCGGTGACTAACTGGGCACAGCTGCAGATGTAGAGAAAAGCAGCGAGCCCTAAGAGCCCCATTTCTCCCGTCTTCTCATTGCTCTGCATATGCATATTTTTCTGTGAACTCTCTGGCAGCAAGACAGAGCCCCATGGCCCTTCAGCACCACGTGCATCCATGTGTGATCTCCCAGAGCAGAAGTGGTCTCTTTCCCAGAGGCAGAGCTGAGCCATTGCCTGTGGGTTTGTTCTGGTGGGCACCAAGCCACGTGGGAGAGGGGGCTCTGCTGGAAGGTGTCTCAGTGGAATCTTACAGTGCAGATTGTCAGGCTGCTGGCCCATGGTGCCGCTGATGGGTTTGAACTGCTGACCTTCAGCCAGAGAATGAGCACAAACCACAGTATGCTGGGCCTTTCACGTTCAGATCCTGCCCAGTCACTGACCGGACATCACCCCTGGTCAGCAGTGTCTGTCCCTCATCATGCAGACCTCCTCCTGTCTTCCCCCTGACCCGCTGCCCCCCTGGTGCCCCCCATCAGCCACCCAGGCTGTGAGTGTTTATGGAGGAGATCGCCCCTCCTCCTTCAGAGCAGGGAGTGGATTTGGATATAACGTGGCGTGTAGCTCACTGTGCAGCTGGGATCCCAGGAGGCTCTGGAATGTCTGTGGCCGCCTGTCTGTCTGCTTCGTCTTACCTGAGTCAGAGGGCAGTCTGCTGGTCTGGAGTGTTCTTGGCATCTCTTCGAGTCTTGTTGGTGGGTGGTGTGGCCAGTGCTGGTGAGTCAGTGACCTGTGTGTGTGGATACAACACCACCTGGCCTCACCCCTGCCCTCACAGCTCCTGGACCAGCAGAGTCTGTGGTTGAACAGCTGTGTCAGTCCAACCCCCAAGGACGCCCCTCACTTCCTCTGACCCTCCACTTCCCTGAACACTGTGTCTGCCCCGCAATCAATTCCTCCCAAGATAATGATCACAGAGACATAGCTTTGTTGATGCGTGGGAGTCCATCTCAAAGCTGCCCTTCCTAGTCTGCCTTAGTCTGGAAGTTCTGCTGAAACCTGGGAGACCCTGCTGGTACTGGGAATATGATGACACGGCTGGTACACTGCAGCCCCAGCAGGCAGGTGGTGGTCCTCGAAGGGGCCAGCACAGTGGGTCATTTCACAGGATGTCCCTGGCCTGGGTTCCATGCTGGCCGCCGGAGATTACAGTCGTTGTGGTTGAATACTCCAGAGGTACTACCACCTTCTCCAGGGCCCCCATTAGAACACAGCGTCCCTTTGTCCAGCCACCACTGATCTGAAGGTGGACAGGGGCTCATGGTGGCGCTGGGCAGGCTTCGCTGTCTGTGGCCCCTCAGCGGATGGCATGCTGAGGCCACAAGAGCACACGGCCCCCATCCAGTGCCCAGCATCATGTGAGCATAACGACTCCACAGCCACACCTTGTGTCTTTACTGGCTGCCTGTTCAGAGGAACCCTGATGACACAGTGTGTTTTGGGTTAGGCTGCTAACCTAAGGTGAGAAGTTCTAATCCACAGCTGCTCAGAGAAAGATGTACTGTCTGCTCACATACAGATTTACAGCCTCAGAAACTGGAGGGGGGGCTGAGTCAGAATCTACCTAAAGGCATGGGTGTGGTGGACTTAGCTGATTTTCCCCTGCCCCCTGTTTGTACTGGGTCACGTGTCTATGTGCACCCATTCCACTCAGCAGGTTCTGACTACTGACCCAGCGAAAGCATTTACCAGTCACTTCCTTGTCCTGCTTTCGTTGGTGAACCCATTCAGGCTGCCTCTGGGTCCTTCCATCTTCTCAGAGTGCTTCCTTACCTGCTCATAAGAGATATTCTGGCTACATCTCATACCTCCCGTTCTGCTCTGGGAAGGGCATTGATCCTGTCCCTGAGGAATTGAGAGAAGTCAGGATCTGGACTCTAGAGTGCTGAGCGTTAAGGGGCTGGTGTGCTGGGTGACAGTAGCTGGTGCGCTGGGAGTTAGGGACTAGTGCTGGGAGTTAGGGGCTGGTGCGCTGGGAGTTAGGGGCTGGTGCGCTGGGAGTTAGGGGCTGGTGCGCTGGGAATTAGGGGCTGGTGTGCTGGGAGTTAGGAGCTGGTGTACTGGGCATTAGGGGCTGGTAATAGTGGTTCCTGTTCTGGGAGTTAGGGGCTGGTGTTCTGGGAGTTAGGGGCTGGTGTGCTGGGAGTTAGGGGCTGGAGTCATTCTTACGAGCTGTCCAAGGCCCAGGCCCTCCTGGAAGCAGTGCTTGAGTATCTGCTCTTGAGCTCACGTGACTTTTGACCGGTCACTGTGCGCTAAGCTCAGCTTAAAGCCAGATGTGCTCATGGACTCTCTTAGGTTGTGCTGATGTGACCGGGAGCTGCAGGTTAATGGGTGTGGCCTTGTTGGCACTGCTGGTACAGCCCTCACGTGGGCAGAAGGCTCAGTGGCCATGCCTGTCTCCCTCACGTCTGTCCTGTGTGTTGTAACTGGCTGCCTTGGGGTCCCGGGGGCGTGGGGGTGTTGTGTGGCCAGGACCCTTCCCTCTGTGACTCTGGAGTTGCCCCTAGGGCTGCAAGCACAACAGCTATGAGGACGCCAAGGCCTACGGGTTCAAGAACAAACTCATCATCGTGTCCGCAGAGACGGCCGGCAACGGGCTGTACAACTTCATCGTGCCTCTGCGGGCCTATTACCGCTCCCGCAAGGAGCTCAACCCCATCGTGCTGCTTCTGGACAACAAGTGAGGCTGGGGGCTGCAGGGCCTGGGCCTCCTAGAGGTCAGGCTTCTCCCCAGGCTCACTGCACGGTGCACCCTTCCACATCTGCTCCCACCTCCTGTGCTCTGGCCCACAGGCACTCCAGCTCCTTCCCTCCTGGCCTCACCGTCCATGCCTGTCTGCCCCCTCAGCTGGGAGGGTCCTCGGCTGCCCTCTCCCTCGGCTCCCTGCAGGGCTTTATCCCCAGGGCAGGCCAAGCCTGAGCCAAGGTCCAGTGTTGCCTGAGACTTTGGAAGGCCCTACCCCCACATATCCCCAGTTCTGCCCCTGTGGATCTGGGGGGCCAGGCCGGATAGGAAGGGGGAGCACAGACGGCCCCCCCCCCAGGAACTGCTGTCCCACAGGCCGGACCACCACTTCCTGGAGGCCATCTGCTGCTTCCCCATGGTCTATTACATGGAGGGCTCAGTGGACAAGTGAGTGTTCCCAGGTGTGGCACGCAGCAGGAGGGTCTCACACTGCCCCCCAAAGTCCTTGCTACATGTAGGCCCCCAGGGAGGGGGGTATCTTCCACACCCAGGCCCCTAAGTTCCACAGCAACAAGAAGTGGCCAGGCTGGGGAGGAGGCCCAGGGGCCCAAGGGGTGTGCTCTGGGCTGCAGGCTGAGGTGCCCGGAGGCAGCCGCTGCCTCTCCGCCTGGCCCCAGCCTGGACAGCCTGCTGCAGTGCGGCATCATCTACGCTGACAACCTCGTGGTGGTGGACAAGGAGAGTACCATGAGCGCCGAGGAGGACTACATGGCCGACGCCAAGACCATTGTCAACGTGCAGACCATGTTCCGGTGCGCGGCCAGCAGGACACAGTCGGTGGGCGGGCGGGGGACTCTGTGCTCCCCGCCCTGAACCCCCTCCCCCCACAGTCTCTTCCCCAGTCTCAGCATCACCACGGAGCTCACACACCCCTCCAACATGCGCTTCATGCAGTTTCGGGCCAAGGACAGCTACTCGCTCGCGCTTTCCAAGCTGGAGAAGGTAAGTGCCCACTGCTCAGCCAGGTGCCCACATCCACACTGTGCTACCCCAGACCTGAACACACATGCACATTGTGCCGCCGGGTCCCAAACAAACGTCCACACCCTGCTACTCACACCCTCCACACTCGGCCAGGGACCCCCATTCACGCCCTCCACACTCGGCCAGGGACCCCCAATGAGGAACCCCCATTCACGCCCTCCACACTCGGCCAGGGACCCACATTCACACCCTCCACACTCGGCCAGGGACCCCCATTCACGCCCTCCACACTCGGCCAGGGACCCCCATTCACGCCCTCCACACTCGGCCAGGGACCCCCATT